ATATTTAAAAAATCACAGTAATAATGATCCATAGGTTACTGGAGCAGGGGCTTTAGAATTCCAGATGTAATAATCAGAAGACACTAGTTTCCGGTCTAAAAAAGGAAAATAAATAAATAAATAAATAAATAATTTCATCTTAGCAAAAAAAACAGGAGAGCAAAGTCATGATTTTTTGTTGAGTGCAATCATTTCATGGCAATCCTTTGAAATATTCATTTTAATTTTATTTTATCAAGGCTTTATTATTAATTTTTACCACTTAAAAAATGTAAGCTCTTTAAATCTTTGAACAATCCATCTTTGAGCTTACATAAAATATCTCTTATTGATGCCAAGTCTGTAAATTTTTTCCTCACATTTCTCCTAAATACTATTTCTTATAAATCATTAATTGTAAAATATTTAATTTTTTTGTTGGTTTCCCTTCTCTAACTTCTTCACCACTGTCCTGATTCTGGTCATCTTATTCTTTATTCATTCAAAGTGTCAAAGATGTAAACCAACAATCAACTTTCTAGCAACATGATAAAAAAAAGTGGCTTTGCTGGGTTTTCATTATAGTTCTGATCAAATGTAAATAGCTTTGCAACTTTAGTCAAATGGCAATCTCTTTTAACTAAACTTTGCTGATATGTGGAATTGAGATAGTAATGCTTCTTTGGATTTAGTCTCAGGCAAATTATTATTATTGTGTATATGTATATCACTAATTATTTAATTCAGCCTTTTCTACCTTTCTTCTTAATAATGCAAAGAMTAGTTTGATCCTCAGTTCTGCCATCATGTGACCCTCTGTTTCATCAGTGTCCTTATCTGTAAAATGGAGATAACTCTATATAGGATGCTGTGAGGAGTAATGAGTTAGTACACATAAAATAGAAACTATGCTGAGCACCTAGTAAATAAAAAATATTAGCTATTAATGAAATTAGCATTATTACTATACTATTTTCAGAACAAAGCTGTTAATTRTGAATATAGACTTTATTGCCAAGATGATGGCAAAATAAAGGTTTCACATGGCTGCACAAATTGGCTGTCACTGTCTGAAATAACCAGAGTTAGGAAATAAAGACTAGTTGTAATGATCCATTTAAAAATGAGCTCTTTCAATATTTTGCATTAATAAGCAGGTGTATTAGTGAAACTTATTCTGTATTATGCTCTCTGAAAGTTACATGTTTAGTTAATACTGACAAAATACTTAAAATGTTCTAATTATTAAAAGACAATATATTTCTCATAAATATTTTAAAACATCGCTCTGTTTGTACTTAGACAAAGATACTGGTTGTCCAATATTATGCTTTCATAAAACATAAATGCACTATGAATACTCTTCTATGAATTCATTTAAAAAATACAAACAACAACAAAACTGATGAAAAAATGAGGGAAACCCCAGGGAGGTGAGAAATGAGCTTTTTCTGGTTTTACTAGATAGAATATGTTTCTGAAATTCACAAGAAATTGCTTAGATTCCATAGTTCCAAGTTCTTTAATTCTTTTGAAATATTCAAATACAAAGTCTTGTCCTATTCTTTTTATTTTAGGGACCTTAATTCTTAGTTTAAAAAATATTTATTTAAATACAGAAATAATTTTTATAAATTAGCATCATTGTTATCTAAATATATACATATGATAGCTTTATTCTCCTCAATCTATAAGGCAAAAGGTTCTCCTTAACTTTTCTAATTATACCTCATTCTAGCTACTTTTCTATATCAGCCATGTGTATTTGATCTGAATGAAATAATTTTGAATTCATTTATAAATTTCTTTTTGTCTAGCTATGTTTTCATATAAAGTATACATATATRTATGTATAAGATATATATACATACATATATTTCACAACCAGTAAATCCATTGAAGACAGGAAATCATCTTTACAACTTGCCTAGTGGTAGACTAGAGAAGGTGGGAAATAGTGTTTATTGATTATAATATTTGCTAAAAATTACTTAAGTTTTTAAGTAATAATCATACTTACCATCTATTGAATCTATATTATATGCTAAGTGCTTGATCAGTATAATCTTACTTAAACCTCATAACAATTCTAAGGTAATTTATTTCCACTTTAAAGATAAGGAAACGAAAACTTCAGGAAGTTCACTGAAGCAACACAGTCAATAAAATGTTGGAGCCATAGCTTGAATCCTTGTTTGTCCAATACCAAAGTATGTAACCTTGTGAACCACCTTTAAATAAGAGTTTATTATAACCAGAACAAAGCAAATCTGATTTTATAATAAAGCCCATCCCATCTTAATCCTTGCTATTCCAGATCCTATTTTAAACTGGAAAAGACTGAGGGCCATACAAAGTTCAGAAAGTGTTATGCTGGGGTGGATAAAGTCAAAATTTTTACAAATTGGGATTATTCTCCAATTTCTAAATTCTGTTATATTTTAATTTTACCTTAGGTAATAACAACACACCACCATTTAAATCTCATTAAGTTAGTTTGAATCTGTACAACTTACATGAACTTATTTTTGGTTTTCCTGATGCGAAAACTTGAACTGAATGTTGATCCGCATAACATCCGGTAAGTGTGTAATCTAAGATGCTAAAATGAAGCTAGGAAGAGAAATGTACTAAACTGAAGTGATTAGTTGGTAAAAATGATGATCACATTTTTTTCTCTTGATATAACTTTAAAAAATTCATCTCACACAGTTCATAAAATAAAAATCATAAAATATTGAACTTCAATTATGAGTATACATATGTTTAAATATGTATACACATACTCTCTTTCCTTTGCTCTGAAGCCATTTTTTTGTAAGGCTTCCATTATAAAGTGCTTAATACAAACCAGGCACTTCACCAATATGGACTCTAATCCATACAGTATCATTTTACAAATAAGGGAACTGAGGTTCTGAGATGAAGGCAATTAATATCCCAATATGTAAGCAGCAGAACTGGCATCTGACCTCAGACATGGCTGACTACAAAAGCAGATGTTCCTTCTGCTAGGTTGTCTAGTAAACTACATACTCTCTTCTATTCCAAGGGCTATGTGATTGTGATATATTTTACATCATAATTCTTTTATAGGTGGAAATATATATACCTTTTAGTGAAATAAGAATGTAATTACTAAAACAGAAACATTAGCTTATCTGGTCTTTGGAGAGAATGGGCTGCACTACTTAATTTTCTAAGAAACTGAAATTTAACTCTTACAGAATCGAGCTTAGAAATTTTCCCTTCCCTCACATAAAAAAAACTTACAAAATGTAATCAATAGTTCCTAATTTCATTGATAATGTGAGGTTATCACTGTAAATGCCAATTATTATACTGTACTATAATAGAGTGAGGCAGTAGCTTCTTTAAAGATAGGATGCCTGAATCAAAATCACATTCACAGGAAAAGGTTTATATCTTACATAGTTCTAGTCTCCTTTTGCTGTGGTTCTCTTCATCTCTGCTGTTAAATGATCCTGATTTTGCAATACCATGTTATCTTTTCTATGCTTTTATTTTTGGCAGTGCTGGGGATCAAACCCAGGATCTCATGTGTGATAGGCAAACGCTCTACCTTATATTGATTTTTTTTCCTTTCTTCCTGTAAATTTCTCCCATTTTTTAAGTTTCTTCTTTAATTGCTGAACTTATTGATCACATGCATAGGATGTTATTTTTAAATCTTAACATATTATTCCTGCTGCAACTCAAATAATTTTTTATATGTATTTTTTAGTTGTAATTGAACACAATATCTCTATTTTAATAATTTATTTATGTGGTGCTGAGGATCGATCCCAGGGCCTCTCACATGCGAGGTGAGTGCTCTACCACTGAGCCACAACCCCAGCCCCTCAAATAACTTTTGATAGTATGGGGTTTATGCTTGCTTGTTCAGTGTAATTCTGAATGCTGGAAGTTATGTATGACAAGGTTGACTTCCACATGACTAAGATAACATAAAACACATTCAGTTCATTCACTGAAAATAAATATTAATTGGAAAGTCGTTAAGTGATGGAAATTAACAGAAAAATGATAATATCTACCTTTGAAGAACATGCAATGTGGTAATACCCCACATATTTTTTTTCTGAAAAATTAGGACCTTTTATAATAATCTTTGAAACAATGCTAATAGATGTAGTTGAAGACAACATGGGGAAAAAAACCCAAATTATTGCCAATATATTTCTGATTTCTTTTTTTTTTTTTAAAGAGAGAGTGAGAGAGAGAGAGGGAGAGAATTTTTTTTTTAATATTTATTTTTTTTTTAGTTCTCGGCAGGCACAACATCTTTGTTGTATGTGGTGCTGAGGATCGAACCCGGGCCGCACGCATGCCAGGTGAGCGCGCTACCGCTTGAGCCACATCCCCAGCCCATATTTCTGATTTCATCACCAATTCCTCTAATTGCCTTTATGGTCAGATTTCAATCTCCTTTGATAGCATTTTACTTTCTTGTTACCTTTTTAATCACTCCATTAATTTTCCTCAATGGTTTTTCTGAATCTTTACTATTTTTCTTATTTTTTTCTAATCTTAATCATTTCCACTACTTCAACTATTTCTTCTCTGTAGGTAACTCCTAAATCCTTATATGCAGCTGAGCTTTTCCTTGAGAAATCAAGTTTTAAGTTTTTAGCTATCCACTGGACACTTGAATTAAGATATGTTGCTATTATCCAGTATCATATATATAAAGCTCACTCTTTCCCAATGTTTTCAATATCAATACTTTAATTCATGTATATTCACCCATTCAGAAATATTTATTGGTAGATAATGGGGATTAGGTCTTAGGGATAAAACAATGGATAAATGAAATTCATACAGTCACTGCCCTCTTGAAGGTTCAAGTCTGGTTTAAATGACATACTTTTTTGAATAACACCATCTTTTTTWAAAAATTTTTTTCTTAAGTCCCAGCCCATAACACCATCTTTTGACTTGTTATTTTTTCTTGTCTCTATATTAGTGACTGAGATTTTATAATCAGTATGGCTTAGAGTAGCCCATTTTTTTTCTTTCTACTGATACAACACTAGTTCAACATCAACTTAGTACCTTTCATGTGCCACATTAATGTAGCTATAAAATATTTTTGATGTCCTTATTTTTTCTCACTTATTTCCTTCACATTCATTGMAGATTAATATTCACAAAGTATCACTTTGTACAAACCACTCCTCTATTAAAAAAATATCCAAAGTTTTTATAAAAGAGTCACACCTTCTACATTTCAAACCTAAATTATACAGTCAGTCTTATACAGTATGACACTTTTTAGCACTTCAACCTAAGTGTGTCTTGCTTATTCTTCACCCCTTTAAGTCTTTTTAAATTAAATAAATACAGTCAATCTTCAAGTCTCCTTATTCATGCTTAACTAGGCCTCAGAGTTTGCTTTAACTCTACTTTCCCTTGACCTCCTTGGCCAGAAAGGCTCACTTCTTCCTTCAAACACCAAAAGCAGTTAATTGATGTGCATTATTGAAAAATCCATAGAGAGTAAAGACTACATTTGACATTTTTCATAAATAAATTTGTAATTTGATGATTAAATGCTGGGTAGTTTAAGTTGGGTTATTTAGATGTATTTAATGATCTTAGTTAAGTTGGGGTATTTAAGTATATTTAATGTTCTTCCTTAAAATTTATATTAATCAAAATAGAAAAATGATTAGTACTAACCAAAAAGAATAAAACAGAATCTAAAAAAGCACAGAATTAAAAACAATTTGCTGTAAAACATTAAAAATCAACTAGGTAAATGCAATTTAGAAACAAAGGAAGAAGTTCTGATGTAGTGAACCATGCAAATATGTTTACCTTTACATATGCTGTATCTCCAATACAAATCTGGTCAAATGGTTGTTTGTCATGGCTCTTGGCTCCAAAGGTTATAGTTCCAGAAAGACTAATTTCCATTGATTTGGGGAACTTCTGGCCTAAAAACACAAATCAACTATTTTTTTAAAAAAGTAGAGCCTATATAGCAAATGAAAGGGAAAAAAGATCAACAAACAAAATCTTGCTCACCAATAATCCAGATCAGTAAGCTTTTCTCTCGAAATACTTCAAGCTGGCCAAAACTAACTTTGTATTCTAATTGTGTAATTGGACCTCTTTACAGAGAAAATAGAAAAAAAAAAAGATCACAAATATAACAGCTTTAAATCAAATCTTGTTACTGTTACTTAATACAAAGACAGCAAAAAGGCAGATATGAATTCAAATTTGTAGAATAAAACAGAATAATAAGTACCTCAGAAAATACTAGAAACTGCATAGACACTTATGATATATATACATTTCATTGCTATTGACTTGTATGCAAAGTTCAGTGAAATTGCTAGAAATGAAGCCAGTAGTAAATAATCTTCACGGGGGTTAACTGGTTTCTTTATAATTTACTAACAAGTTTAACTACAAAAGTAAAGACACATTTAAAGGTGCATGATTATTATTTTTATGATTATGTTTTGGTTCAGAATCAGCATTCATTTGAGTAACAAAATTATTTAGTTCTTGAAAAAATAAGGTAAAAAGCAAATACAATTTGCTAAACACAATTAGGGGACAGTGGGAATCTACTACAGAAGGCAGACATCACAACATCATGTTATTTATCCCTACCTATTGTAAAAAGGTATATGAGCTTCACAGAATTCAAAATTATTTTTCACACTTTCATGAAGTTTTAAATTAACTTTTATTTTTAGTTGTATTTCTTCTTCTTTCATTTGATAGAAACCCAAAATTGGTGGTACAGGGACCTGAAAACAAACATAAATTTTTATGAAATTCTCAGGTTAATGGGTCTAAAATACTAATGGTAATGGGGGAGGGAGTTCTTGTGTATATTATACACATTACATTACGTGAATGTGCATATACACACACACATATACAAACCTAATCATTATATACAGATCTGTCTATGATACAGAGTGAGTTACTCCAACTGTTTTGACAATAGCAATAATGGGTCTATAAAAGGACAGAGATTCTTCTACCCCTTTCTGTTCCCAGACGAGAAAAGATGCCTTATAAAGGGGTACAATATATTCTCCTCTCCAAATTATTTGACCTAGAGCACAGAACATGTACTAGACATACTGATAACTGCTGCCCTGCCCATAGTTTCTAATGTTCCATCTGTATTCTGTAACTGCATTCTTCCCACGTTCCTCAACTCAGGAGTAACTCAGAAGTAGCTTGACTGGTCATCAATAACTGACTAAAGGGGAAAAAATTTGTAGCCTGGGGTAAGCCAATCATTCCTATTAGTAGATCAGAAATWAGACATAGAGACTCTGCTTAAATAATGTAGATCTTAGAGCTTTAAAATCTTATGCAAGCATAGAAAGTTGAAAGAGAAGACAGAAACAGAGATAAGACAATGTGGACTTTTGGTATGAAGTGATTTTAATTTTTCATATCCAATGTGGTCTGGGTCTACCTCTTTTCTTGAATGACAATGAAGACTGCCTATTGTCTTCTCAAAATAATTTTTCCTAACTAAGGTCTACTATTATACTGATTGATAACTAGGGCAGAAACAAATGGCACATTATAGTAAAAACAGGTTGGACTTTGGGATTCTGAAAAATCTGGGTTTAAATTAAAGTTCTGCCATTTATCAGTTACATGTAAAACATGACTAAATCATATCAAAATCTATTCTGTGAGTGTGGACTTCCTCTTAGGAATAATAATAAAAAAATTTCCCCGTCAACAGAAGAATGGATAAAGAAAATGTGGCTTCTTACAAGAAGAATGTAATTGTGGCATTTGCAGGTAAATGGAGAATATCATGTTAAGCAAAGTTAAGCCAATCCCCCCAAACCAAAGGCTGAATGTATTGAGATGTGAATGCTAATTCACAATAAAGGTGAGGTAGCTAGGGATTAAGCAGAGGGGAGTAAGTGGGGGCGGGGGGAATGGAGGTAAGAAGAACAGTAGAATGAATTGGGTATTACCCTATGTGCATATATGACTACATGACCAGTGTAATTCCACATTATGTACTACCAGAAGAATGAGAAGTTATATTCTATTTATATATGTTGTGTCAAAATGCATTCTACTGTCACATATAACTAATTAGAACTTACTAAAAAAGTAAAAAATTGTTGACTTTGAAAGCTTTTTAATGTTGTTACAGACACCAGAGATTAACAGGTAGTCTATTTGAAGAAATGAATCTTCATCTTCATCTCTCAATTATTGTCTGGTAAATAACTTCTGAAAAATTCTTGTTTGGACCAAGTGTACAAATGATTGCTTATCAATAATATTTAAAAAGATCAGGAAAGTCTCAAACTTTTCCAAGATTATTTACCTGGGAAGTATAGTAGCATAAATTGAATGACTCTAAAGGTGGAGTGAATGGAAATTTATAAGGCCCACTAAATGCAGAATCATCCACTGCATCAATGCTGCTAGAGGTCAGAATGGCAGAATCAAGAGAAGTCACACAAGGATGAACTAGAATATCTTGAAGTGGAGATCCATTGGTGGGGAGGTTCAAGCTGATGGTGACATTTGGCATGATTCCTTCTAAATCACACTGTAATACAAGCAGAAATAGATATTACCAAGATATTGGAAACATACACCTTCTATTTGAGGCTTTTCTGAATTTATCAAAGTAATTTCCCCCAACTGAACTAACTTTTTTTTCTGCAGGAACTAATCTATTTGCTTTCTGTTTTCTGATACTTGCAAGGTGCTATAGTCAGGTACCAAGARAGCCTTCATATACCCCTCTGCTTATCACTATATCTCTGAGAAAGAAATGTTAAAAGGATGGGGATGTAGAATACTTGCTTAACATCATGCACAAAGCCCTGGATGCCTTTCCTGGTATGGGGAAAAAATGTTGAATCTATTCACTACTCTACATTCCTTTTGTAATCATATTTGTTCAGGGCTTCAATTTGTTATACCTCTAAAAATGTATCCATTTGTTTTCCTGTCATCAATCCATCTTTCATTAATGTCAGAACTATCTTAATGAACCACAATTTTTATTATATAGTATCCATGCTCAAAATGTTTCATTGTTTGGTCCCTGTCTAAGTCTTTAATCATTTTCCACCCTATGAACTCTGTTGTAGACATAGAGGATTCTTGCATTTCCCTGAATAATTCATATTGTCATACCTTCATATGTACCATTGCATGTGCTGTTTCCTTCAGTTAAAATGTTTTTTTTCTTACTATAAACTTTAACTCTTCATGTCTAGCTCATTTCATATTTTGTATGATGCCTTACATTCTGAATCATCACGTCTACAGCCCACCTCTGCCATGTAGATGCCTAGAACCTTCTTCCATACATGACTTGGGTTAGACTATCAGTGGAAGTTAGTAATGAGACACACAGAAGAAAGAAGGGAAAGGAAAGCCATTATTCTTAGGAGGTCGTGGAAACCAGATATGACAGTTTCACAGACCTCTCCCTGAACACCAGCTGTAGCACATTCACAGATCTTTTCATGAACTCCACTTTCTCCAGAATGAAACTGTTACTCTTTCTGGAAGGTTGCAACCAGAGGAAGACTTGTATTTCCCAAGCTCCTCTCATACTTGAATAAGCACTAATATCTGGATTTCTAGATATCTTATAGTACACACTGGCTAATTAAACCATATTGAGCCAGGCACAGTGGCACAGCACATACCTATTATCCCAGAGCCTCTGGACACTGACGCAAGAGGATCACAAGTTCAAAGCCAGCCTCAGCAACTTAGGGAGGCCCTAAGCAACTTGGGGCTTGAATCCAGGGCCTCATGCATGCTAGGCAAGTGCTCTAYCACTGAGCTACAACTCAGTCTCTCCAGTGTTTCCACTTTGAAATTATCTGCTTCTTTATTCTCTATATGTAAGCTAATAAGAATTAAAAGTAGTTGTGGTTTTTGATGGATATTTATGAAGATAATAAAAAACATTTGATAAAAAGTACTATTAAAATTATGTTCAGTTTTTGATTATTAAATTATCCTGTAGCAGTCTAACACCTTAAAGAGGTCAGAGAACCAGCATCTTATAAAAACCTCCAACGAATTATCCACTCTTCAAGCACTTAAAAGACCAGATTATCAGTCATTTACTATAGGATGAGGATGTCCATTCTAACTGAACATCTTTTTTTTTTTTTTTTGGTGGTGGTACTGGGGATTGAACCCAGGGCCTTGTGCATGTGAGGCAAGCACTTTACCAACTGAGCTATATCCCCAGCAGAATGTCCATTCTAAAAGGGATGTGTGTACTACCCTTTAAATCAGTCAGGCTTATATAAATGTGAATTTTAAAAATACATGTTTTAAAAACAGAAGGCATCTAAGTGCTTGTCTTATTTTAAAAATGACAAATGATTCGCAAAACTGTGTGACATTTCTGAAGATACATAGAAAAATAGTGGCAGAGTAAGAATTAGAACTTCAGAATTAGAACTTAATTAGTTCTAATTAAGAATTAGAACTACAGGCTTTCAGTGCATCAGGTTTTCTATTAGACTTAAGATAAAACGAGGATAGTTATTTCCATTTATAATGGACTTCATAATAAAAATCTTCCTTTAAATATTTCTTTAAACTTCCCCATAAGCAATCTACTAGGGTCAGCTTATCAATCAGTGGAGACATTTAAATATTATTATATTAATTAGCATTTCATTATATACAATTTATTCCTTGTTTATTGAAACAGGATGAAAAAAACAGAAATGGTGAATTATCTTATTTTCATTATACCAAACTAACCAAAAAAAAAAAGAAAAAAAAAGATTTTTGACTACTTTAAGATTTATGAATGACATAGTCCATGTTTTAGGACTATTTACAATAGTTCTTTCTAAAAGAATGAATATATTTTGACCTTGATAGAAGTACATTTAACATAGACAAAAGTTTTCAGTCACTTTTTTTTTTTTTTTTTTTTATGGTCCTGGGGATTTAACCCAGGGACACTTTTACTACTGAGCTACATCTCCAGTCTTTTTATTTTTCACTCTGAGACAGGGTCTTGCTCACTAAGTTGCTCAGGGCCTCACTAAGTTGCTGAGGATGATCTGGAACTTGCAATCCCTCTGTTTTACTCTCCTGAGCTACTTTCATTATGATTAAAAGGGAACTGAAAAGAAATACCCAATTTCCCTGTCAGGACTATTCTGATTCTCTGTTCTYGAAATCTACTTTTATCCACAGGATCTACCTAGCCACTTAACATTAAAGGATGATGGAAAAATAAAGACATCTGAGAAAACTATTAATACATACYGATAAGAGTTTACTTGGAGGATTTTTATTTTTGGTCATTATTCAACATGGCATTAACCACTTGCTAACTCTATTAACATTTCCATTCTTTCCCCATCTTCTAACTTTAAACCACAGAATCCGATACTGATCTGTTACTTGTTTAAATAAAAAAAGAGCACTTCAAAATGATTTTAGCTATCATATCAGAGAATTAGTCAATTTCATGTGTTAGAGAAAATGGAAAATAGGGTAATTTTAAAATATGTTCACAAATTCTCTCTTTGTTCCAAAAAGTGGAACAAATCCCATACCTCTTATGATCAGACTTAGTGACTTGCTTTTAAATAATTATCTTCTGATTCAATCTTTTTCTCTCATATCATTTGATTCAAGGGGAGCCAGTCCCCAAATTGTGAGGACACTTAAGCAGCCTGTTTAAAGGTTCACATGTAAAGGAAATGAAGCCTCCCTCCAATTACCAGCACTAATTTGCCAGCCATATGAGTGAGTCATCTTGCATGTTCCAGCTTTCAAATGACTATAGACCCAACCAAAATCTCGACCCTTATCTCTTGACTTCTTCTACATTAGAAGTTCCCAGCTAATCCCCAACACCACAAAACAAAACAAAACAAAACAAAACAAAACAAAACAGAAGTTCCCAGCTAAACTACTCCTGAAGTTATGACCCACGGGAACTATGAGGATAATAATGGAGCAATTCATCACATAGTTATAAGTAACTAAAATAACTGGTAAAAATGCAAATAGATGACATCAAATTTCATATGTCTATCATCTAATTATACCCTAAAGATTAAAAAAAAAACAAAGATACCACTTAACAATGTAAAATACAAGTAATAGAATTTTACTTTCTCCATATATGTTAAATGGTATGATAAAGCAAATACCCAAGAAAATCTCACCTTGCAAATGACTGCTCCAACAACTTGCCATGTATCTGCTATATCCTGTTTATCATATTGCATGGATTTTACCTTTTCAGTAATAGAAACAGAAACCTGTGGTTTTCCTTTGTATGTTCCAGCTTTCCAAGCTGGCTGTTTCTGTGGCTGAGACACAGAAGCAAAATTAATATTATCCAATGAATTCTGTAAGTTGGCATCTAATAAAGTACCAAATGGACAAGCCTGAAGAAGCAATTTAGGCAACTGGCTCAATTTTGTATTTAGTTCAGTATCATTTTTTTGACTAGAATAAAGAAAATCTTGTATACCAAAAAGAAGTTCCAAGCCTTGTGAAATTCCACTGATGCTAATTAATGGTGGATGAGGGGAGAGAGTTTGTTCAACAAGTGGAACACTAGCATATATCATGCCATTCTTCAGAAAAGCAACCACTGGCCAGAGTTCTTCACCTCCTACTGAAAGTCTATATATGGTTGTTTTATTGATGTGTGTACAACTATCACGACGCTCTACGAAGTCCTTATCATCATCCAATAATCTAAGTTCAAAAAGGAGTGCTTTAAGAAAGGGACCATCTTCAGGAATAGGCACATAACTTGCTCCATTGAATACTTTGGCTCTCTTTTCAACGGTTGGATAACGTCTGCATTAGGAAAACAAGAAACATTATAAATGATTCTTTCAAATAAAATAAAAATGGAGGAATTAAGAAAAAACCCTAAAATACAAGGCAAACAGGAATAACAATAAAACATAAAATTACAAATATACATACCCATAAAAGCCAAAATCCCCAAAACATATGTTAAATTCCTATCAGAATAACTGTTTTWCATTTGAGGTTGTTCCAAATGATAAAGTGTCATCTATTACTGAAAATGCTTAGTTATTTTTTAAATAGGTAAAGTACACCAATTCTAATTCAAAAATTTGTCAGGCACTCAGATTCCTTCTTGGTAGACAGAGTATATATACCTAGACCATTTTAGGCATTCATAGGATTTTTTTTTTTTTTATTCCATCCTAGAGGAGTAGGACTAAAGAAGTGATTCAATTTACCCTCTGAAATTTTGGATCCACTAGTTAAGATGATATGATTAAAGAAATGTTCTATTCTACTTAGTCTATAGTGAATAACACCCTGAGTCTACTTGCTAAACTTTTTAAAAATACGGAACATTGTTTTATTAGTAATAGTTTAACTCTATGGCTCTGGAAAACACTATTAAAAAAAGAAGTCTGAATATTCCTTTATGGTTTGCATGTCTGGGTTAAATGGTAAGTTATTAATTTATTTTCTTTTTCCTTCTTTCAGGAAACAGAACAAAAGATGTTTTTGCTCATTTATAGAAATCTGTTAGTCATATTTTCTTAGTTTAAAAAAAATGTATTTTCCCCCMGTTCTTTCCTGCTCCACTTCAAAGTCTAGGATGAAGCTGTCTGTTAGCTACTGACTTTTGAGTAAATCATCTAACTTTCCTATGCCTATTTTCTTATTTATAAAGTAAATGGGAGGCTTGGGGGTGTAGCTCAGTGGAAGATCACATGCTAGTGTGAGGCCCTGGGTTCAATCCAGCAAGAAAAATAAAAGGATGACAAAAATCAGCAGTTTTTAATCAAGAGTCAAAAACATACTTACATAAAAGTTTTTTCCACTAATAAAATTCTGATGTTGCTAATAATKTTTAAAAGAAAAATAAGGTTACATTCAAAGTTAACCATTTATGAACAAACCTCACTTTTTAAAATTATAATGTATTTTCTTGACTGAGGAAGGGGAAGATTCAGCCAGCATATCATTTGTGATGCATCTTATTCTCTGTTTACCTAGAGGACAAAGTTTTTAAGTGTAAAAATTTCATGACTGAATGTAAAGATGATTAATATGGGATCTTACACATGTCTCTCTATGTGTTCAATAAATATTTTGTTGGGTTATTTGACCTGTCATTTCAAATTTATTCTGAGCTATTTGTAAAACATGACTCAAACCTTAATTGGCCCTAAAATTAGGGATACAATAACAACTTAAGCCAGACTTAAGCTGATACAATTATTATCTGGACAGCAAACCTTTCCAGAATCAAAACTAATTTTTGCTGTGGGAAATAAATGGTTAGATAGAGGAAAAATCACTTTTCTTATTAAATCTTAAACAATAGTTATTATCCTTTGTTGTACTAATTAATAATATGCCAAAGCATATCTCTTTAGTCCTAACAGTAATCCCAACAGATCAGGAATCTGAATAATAAAACATTACCAATTCATTCAAATAATAGAGAACTAAAGTCACAGATGTATTATTTGGTCACTTTGCTGCTTCCATGGAGTTGTTGAGAAGCTCAATCAAATATATCTGAGGTTTCTTCTAAAATAGAATTCTGAGCACACTGAGAAAACATTTTTTGCATGACTTCTTCAAGGAACATATTTTCTTAAGCAGTAAAAACTTTCACTTCTATATTAAAATACACTACAAAGCCACAGACATAAAAACAGTATGGTACTGGTACAAGAAAGACAAAAAGAACTGAGATAGACCAATGTTTTTATGGGGGAACATAATAACTATTATTAGTAATTTCATCACTCAACAAATAAAAGATATACTGCTTTGAAGATGTTAGGAAGGGCTGGGGATGTGGCTCAAGCGGTAGCGCGCTCGCCTGGCATGCGTGCGGCCCGGGTTCGATCCTCAGCACCACATACCAACAAAGATGTTGTGTCCGCTGAGAACTAAAAAAATAAATAAATATTAAAAAATTCTCTCTCTCTCTCTCTCTCTCCTCTCTCACTCTCTCTTTAAAAAAAAAAAAAAAGATGTTAGGAAAACTGGTCCATGATAAGAAAGAAATAAAATGGGATTCCTGCCATCTCTAAAGATGCTCTACAGATGGATTAAACTTCTAACTATAAGAGATAAAATTGCAAAATTCAGAGGAGATAATGTGGAATGATATCTTTGGGAAATAAGGGTAGAGAAATAGTTCAAAAAATTCCTGAGGAGCTTACTACTCCAATTGCATTAAAATTAGTGATCTGTTTAACCAAGAACAACATTAAATTGACAAAAGATAAATTTAAAAATCTATACTAACAATGACGTGAATTAGTATTAAGAATACATAGCAAACTCCTACAAATCAACAGAAAAAAAAAACAGTAACTTTCAAAGGAAAAAAGGACAGGGGATATATATGAGGCTATTCACAGAAGAGGAAACCCAAAGGACTAACCATTATTGCTACACAGAGAAATGTCAATCAATTAGAATACGTGTCAGGAAAGAACAGATATAGGAACCCTCACTAATCACTGGTGAGTCTGGATGGGTGCAATTAGCATTTTGAGAAGCAAATTAATTATTTGGAAATATTTATTCAAAATCAGCATATGTATGCACTATGGACCTGTTTGATGATGTCTACTTGAGAATTGTTCAGATGGCTATGAATTGGAAGCCACTTTGCAGATTATCACTAGGGAAAGGAGATAGGTAAAACGTGGAGGTAAACGAGTACTACAGAGCAAGTAGAAGCAACAGCCTAAATCTAGRGTACAATAGAGACACTAAACACATGAAGTTATTTAAACTTATATTAAAACTAAGCAAAATTAACAAGTGAGTTTCTCAGATCAGCCACAGTTCAAAAGCTCAATACCTACACATGCATGTGGCTATATTAGCCAACACAGGTTTAGAACATTTCCCCTTTCCATCAATAGTAGAAAAATTCTATAGGATAGTGCAGCTCTAAATGAACACAAAATAATATGATGTTTCTAAGAGCACTGGGAAGTCTGACAAATGCAACAAAAGGAAAGCTAAAGCACAATTAATTATATAATTTGACAAATACATATAAACAAAAGGATAATAAGAACATGTAAGAGTTACCCGCTGGAACAGGAGAATGGCAGTTAGAAACAGGTAAGCAAAGAGAATATATTAGTAAAATGAAGATATTTTGGATGAATAATGAGGCTGATGAACCATGGACCAAAGAATAATACTAATTTCTTGTGTTTGAGGTCCAACAACAATAAATGTAAGCCAAGTGTTCTGAAAGAAAATGGTAAACTCCAACTCTGATGCCCTCAGTAACAAAAATTGTTTAGGCTGCAAAAGCAATGTCTCATATCTACATTGCCAATTACTTTAAAATTACATCCTTCTTTATCTGGCTTAATCTCATTTCCATCAGGCTATGTCACTATAGACGGAAGAATGAATAAATAGCAAAAAAGAACTCTAAGTGGTCACCTAAGTGGTCACCAAGAATAAAAGGTGAAACAGATTACTTTCCCTAACATTTTACAACGAATYATTGTATACAGTTCTCTTCATAAAACTATCTTGATAAAATATGGAGAGCTGTAAAAGTGGGACTAGATCGCTTACACGATCTAAGAAAAAAGTGAATGCAATTCTTCATACTTCCTTTTCTTCATCAACCGGGAACTAGCAATGTGTTTAGCAATGACACAAAATAAGATGAAAATAAGTCATACTGCTTAGCAAGGATTTTTTCTAATGAGTTAAAATGTCCTTGATTTTATCAATGAGTCGAAACTTTTAAAACGTGTTTATACTGTTTTTTCCTTTTTCCTTTATCATCTCTGTATCAATCCTAAGCAGATGCAGTTAATTTTAAGATGCAATAATACTTACACTAGAAAACGCATGTAATAATCTGTCAGGCAACAATTCGTTTTATTTTTACAACAGTATAAAATATTCACTAAATAGGCAAAACAGAGGTTAAGTAACTTGACCAAGATCATTGGTGGCAGACCTGGGATACAATGCATCACAAAACAATGCCACATCAATGAATCTTCGATTGATCATTCCTGGGGATTCAGATTTGCATTTACCTGGAGAATCTCACGGTGCCACAAAGTGGAGTTCCTGGTTCGTGGCGTATAAGCCACACTGCCCGCTGGGCCATAGTAAGCCACTAAAGCATAAGCTCAGCTCCTTACCAAAGTCGCCACCAAGTAACAGCGCAGACCGGCTTTCTCCGCGGGATTCTTAACTGAAGTCCCGAGATTCGCCCTGCGCCACACACGAACTCACTAGAGATGCTGGCTCTTTCAAGGGAGGTGAAAAAAACCTCTGATTCTATCCTGGTCAAAACATACCACAAAAAGTTCTAAAAATCCGCACCTAGAATCTTGAGAAACKTATCCCCAGCAAACCCAGTATTTTCTTCCTCTAATTTCCACTTCCGGGATGGTGGCCCGCAAGGATCAAGGTTCCTCACTTGCCCAAGCACCCAGCCTCTCTTCGGTTCGCCAGCCGCTAGCTTCCCTCGCCTGCCCCTCCCGATTCCTTTCGGGCGCGCGCAGCTCCACTTCCGGCGTATGAGGCGGTGACAATGGGAGCGGCGCGGGCGGCGCCGGGAGGCAGCTGACAGGCGTCTGCGGCTCCGCTTCATGGCCGTTCTCTCGCTCAGCCTGGGTTCTGTAAGGACTGGGGAAGCCCGCGGCGGCTCGGAGTTGGAGCTGACCAGCCAAGCAGGGACCTGTGCGCGGCGCCGCTGAGGCGCAGCATGTGAAGAGGAGACGGCATCCAGCGCGGGGCGAGCCTCTCAGCCGGCCGGGATGGCCACGACGGCCGAGCTGTTCGAGGTGGGTCCCGCGTCTCTTCGGGAGTGGCAGGCCCGGGGGGTGCGGGCCGGGAGGTGGGCGGGCGGAGAAGCGGGCGTTCTCCCGCGGCCCGGAAGAAGCCCTGGGAAGGAAGGTGCGAAAGCCAGGGTGGGGTGGCGGCTTCGGCGGCGGACGGGCGGAGCGTGCGGTGGGGGAGGGGAGGTTTGGGGCCGCGGGGGGCCGGTCGGTCGCTAGCGCTAGCCGGTTGTCCCAGGAGAGGGTTGGCTTGGTCTGCGGGGTCTGAGGGGCTTCTCGGAGATCCCTCCTAGTGAGGGACGATGTCCATTCGGAATGAGTCTTGGGAAGGGCTGACTCCGGAGGCGATTAGAGGAGCCGGCAGCTCCAGGTGGGGCGAGCCTTGTCTTGTCGCGTGGCTCTTCGTGACAGTATTCCAAGGGGACCACCTGAGACTGCGACTCTTGAGGGCTTCTCATTGCGCCATTAGTAATACCAGAAGTGGCACTCATGTGCTTACTCTTAACATTTGGTAAAGCTGTGAGTCTTTTTTTTTTTTTTTAGGACAGTAAAGGCCTGTTTAGCCAACAATTGAAGGGAATCAAAACTGAAATGATCATGTGTTGGAATCTTAGGAAATTTAAGGGTGTTATAAAAACCACCTAACTACGAGCTGGAGCATCGTGAACGTGCGCTTGACAGTGTGCATTCTAATGTATTTCCTTGAATATATTCAGWCTCCTAAGCCTGAAAATTTAACTTTTTGAAGTCCAGTGTAAAAGTGTGTCTTGTTTGAAAGGATAGGAAAGCCGCAACTGAACCACGAAACAATGAAACGTATAAACTATTTCCTTGTGTGAAAGAAAGCGGAGATATGAGTGAAAAGAAAGGAAAGACCCTTATTTGGTGTGGCTATTCTTTATTGAGTTACAGAAGTATAAGCAGTAGAGCACACTGCCATTCACAATTGAGAATTTCTCATCAGGGAAAATTGTATCCTTTTTCTGCCTGAGATTCAGCAGTTTGTGTGGCTTAAAATTTAGATGACACAGTTTTTGTTACAATTGGAACTTTTCATTATTACTTTTGTGAGTATTATGTCTTGGCCTTCAGTCGTCCCTTGCATAGATAACGCTTTTTTTGAGGGGGATGACATAATATTATAATGAATTTAAATAAAACAGCAAATTTTGAGTGAAGCACTTTAATTAGATGAGATTTAAGAAGTATTAATTGTGCCTTCTCAAATTTAATTGTTAGAGGATACATTACATCAGTTTGTCCAATTATAAAATTGTGCCATCTGCCTTTTGACACCAGAGCAAGGAAACATTCTTGCTGAGAACTTTTACTGTGTACCTGGGCAGAATACTAGGTAGTTCTGTAGTTCCTTGTTTTCTTTTTCACATCTTACAAAATTTTGTGAAGGTGCTTGAGATTTTTAATTAATGTATTTTGTGACAAACCAGCTGTTAACAAAAATCTGTTATATTGTCGTACAGTTCATAAGACACTTTTGAATTAATGGATCCTCCTTGACATTCTCAGTTGTGTCTTGGATCATATTTTAAATATCTTTTCTTTAGATGAGTGACCACATGAGTTCCGTAACTTACTTGAAAATATATTTGAGTACTACCTTCTTCCCCAGGGGGAAAAAAGGGGGTTGTGGTGAAATATATATTTTGTTCTCTAGGGTCTTGCCATTTAGTAAAGTAGTTAAGCCAAATTAGGGTTTACCTTATCTTATTGTCTCCAGTTACATGGTAGCTGGTGAGATTTAGTGGTGGTGACAGAGACAGAACCTCTGACCAGAGGGTTCTTAAACCAAACTTAAACATATTTATAGGTCTTAACTCAAGTGACTTTTCCCTGGATATATGTAGCTGTTGCATCATCAAAATCAAAGGCATGTTGTAATAATAGTTATAATTATTAGTTAAATGTAATTAAGAAGTATATTTATCTTTTCCTGGATGCCTATGAGTCTAGCTCTACAGTGGACTCTGCTGTTGAGGAAGTTTTCATTCTCAAGTGAAAAGTTGACCTCTTAAGATTTTAGAGGGAGAAGAAAGAAAAAACCCTCAGTCACTTCTGCTATTTCCTGCTGTCACTAACATTAATCTAGGTTGCAGAATAAATCAGGGAGTGTCTTTTTCTCCTGCTTCCCTTTCCTAGTCACAACTGGGGAACTGTGGAAAACAGGGCAGGATGTAGTCAAGGATATTTTGTTTTTATGCATCCTTGTTTTCATGTACTGTTAAATAGAATTGTGCTTTCATTTTCCACATTGAAGAGATTATAAAAGGAAACAACATTAAACTGTTAACTGTGCTTTAAAAAAAAAAAAATCTCTGACTTTTCCCTTTTAAACAAAGAAAACGTTATGCAACAAAATCAAACTGCAGGATATTTCCTCAGTTGGCAGAAATGATTTATTAATAGATGATTCATTTATTGTTATAATGTATATCATAGAAATCTCCCAGTTTCAACCCTTGTTGACAGATCTTTCTGAAGGTATCATCTGTAGGTGTTTTTAAATGATCACCTCAGGATGAACTTTCTGAACAAGATTCCTCTGTGGTTTGGATTCATTATGTATTCTACACATAAATAATGACTGGAGTGGTAAATTCTTTTTCTGTTGCAGATGTTCCTCTTTTATTGCACTACTAAGTATATTTTCTCTCATTTGCTAATTTTCTCTCATATCATTCTTCTAGAGTCTTGTCTCTGGGCAGGCTACCTTTATGGGAGGATTTTTTGTTAGAACTATGGTCAATTACTCATTCATTCAACAAAATCCTTTTTTTAGTACCTATTAAGTTCAATTCACAGTATCAAGATTAATGAGGGGGGCTGGGGATGTGGCTAAGCGGTAGCGCGCTCTCCTGGCATGCGTGCAGCCCGGGTTCGATCCTCAGCACCACATACAAACAAAGATGTTGTGTCCGCTGAAAACTAAAAACTAAATATTAAAAAAAAAGATTAATGAGGCTATATGTCTCAAAGGGCATGCCCTAGAAATATTAATTCATTCATTTATTCATTTTGCAAATATTTATTGAGCATTTTACTTTAACTCACCATCTCCAGGGATTGGAGGTAAAAGATGATCCCAGAAACTTGGGAGGCTGAGACAGGAGGATTGCAAGTTCTAGAACAGCCTCAGCAATTTATCAAGGCCCTGAACAACTTAGTGGGATCCTGTCTCAACATAACAAATTAAAAAAAAAAAAAAAGGCTGAGATGTAGCTCAGTGGTAAAGTGCCTCTGGGTTCAATCCCTAGTACAACTCCCACCCCCACCCCCCACCCCAACAAAAAAGAAAAGAGTAGAAAAGAAAAAAGACGGTGAGTTAAAATTATAGTTGGGGTAGAAAAATGTGTTAATATGGAGTCCAGGATCTTTTCCTGGGATGATTAGGAATGCTTTCATATAGTAATGACATTTCAGGGCAGACACAGATGGTAACTCCAATTTGTAAGGGGGTGTGTGTTTAGGGAATATTGAGATGAGACAAGGTGTGTCTGTGCATGGTTTAGAAATAGGGAGTGTTGTGGCTGGTGATTCATAGTAAGATATTGAAATTGAGACCATGGGGATTTGAGGAAGATTTGAGAAAGCTTTTTGTAGACCATATTTAAGGTCCCCTCCCCTCACCTATCTCCTCTTCTTCAGTACTAGGGATTGAACCCAGGGGCAGTTTACCACTGACCTACATCCCTAACCCTTCCAGCACTTTTTATTTTGAAATAGGATCACCCTAAATTGCTGATGCAGGCCTGAATTTGTAATCTTCCTGTCTCAACCTCCCAGAGTGCTGGGATTATAGGTGTGTGCCACTGTGCCTGGCCTGATATGCTTTTTTAAAAAGGGGATGTCAGGGGAGGCAGGGAATTTTAATGTTCATATGAAGAATGGCCTTCAATGGATAAGAGATTTTTAGCTAGGAAAACAGGGGTCATGGGCAATTTGCCTTAGTTCTTGTCATTTGGTAATTATTTCACAATTGTCTGTTGATTGATTAATCAAGGCAGGGAAAATTTTAGCATAATTTAATGGAAACACAGAAGCCAAGAAATCTGGAAAGATGTGTTGGAGGAAGAATCAAGAGTTCAGTTAATGAGGAGTTAATTCCAAGTTTATGAACTTTGGAAAATAGGTGGTTGATGATGTACTAACTGTGACACAGAAATTGGAAGAACCCTTCAGGGGAAGGAATAATGTATTCATTAAAAAAATATGTATATGTATATGTGTGTGTGTGTGTGTGTGTGTGTGTATATATATATATATATATATATATATATATATATATATTTAATTTTGAGTTTTTATTAAAGTATTTTGGTGAAGAAGTCCAGAACGCAATTGTAAATATGAATTGGTTACTCGAAAAGAGGGCATAGCTAGTTAGGAGTTTAGGAATTACTATTTTAATTGGATGGTTATTTAGACCTGGGAATGAATGACATCTCTTAGTTCTACTTTTTAGTAGTTATGTGGTCTTGGGCAAGTTACCTAACATTTTTATGCCTCAGTTTTTGTGTTTGTAAAGTAGGGAAAAATAGTTTCTACCTAGAGAGTTATTTTACTTAGATGAATCTCAGTTAAAACATTCTCAATTTTTAAAATTAAGTAGTAGTCACTTTCAATTTAGGTGGATTAAGAAAATGACATATATCAGAGAGGAAAAGTCTTTCAGTGCACACTGAGAAGAAAACGATACAAAAGATAGGAGATTATGCTAGGAGAGAATTACGAAACGAGACTGGATGCCCACAACAAGATCTGCCATCCTACAGTGTGACTGACACTCATCTCCTAGAGAAGAAGGGTATTTATTTCTTGAACTTGGCCAGTAGAAGTGATACTACATAGTGATTTCCAAGGTAGTATCCTGGTTCTCTTTTAATACTCTTTTGAAATATAGCAGCTGTTCCAAGTAAAAGCCAAAGCAGCCCTTTCAAAGAACCAAGGCCCTTGGCCCTCAACTCTGGCTGAACTTCCAGCTGACAGTA